ATGCGAGGTCAATGGTCTAACGACTACGGCATGCACGACTATGAGTACACCCCCCCTCGCGCCCCGTCCGACGCGCTACGGGGCTAATGTTTGCCTCCCCCCCACGCCCTCCCGACGCGCTATGGGGCTGCATTGATTATTGCCCCCCCGCGCCCTCCCGTCGCGGCTGTGAGCACACGGCCCTCCCGCCGTGATATTTGAATGTTAACCCCCCACGCCCCTACGGTCGCGGCTATGGGCACACGGCCATATCGCCGTATTCTGTTAACATTGCCCCCCCACGCCCCTTCCGTCGCGGCTATGGGCCTCACTTATTGTTTAAGTATGATGTCCTTCCCCACGCTCCTTGCTGCGCGGCACGGGGCTGTTTCGCGTGTCGCCCTCCCGCGCCCCTCCCGTCGCGGCTATGGGCACACGGCTGTCTCGCCGTGTTCTCTGAATATTGCCCCCTCACGCTCCTTCCGTCGCGGCTATGGGCACACGGCCATCCCGCCGTATTCTTTGGATATTGCCCCCCCACGCCCCTTGCGTACACAGCTGTCATCCGTACGCAAGGAAGTACGCACAAGATGCCGAACACCCTTAGCAGGATGCAGCGCACCCTTCATGCGACTCGCCGAATACCTCACGGCGTTTTGCGCTTGGTGATGTGAGAGCCTCCTGTTGCTGCTGTGTGTGGATGGAGCGCGCGTAGTGACCTGCGCGGCTATTGTGTCTGTCCTCTGCCTCTTCTTACAAGGCCTCACGTGCTACATCTAGCTTCACCTGGTTGTCTTGATGGCGTCGTGGGGACGCATGCTGCCCCAGCTCTCCAGACGCAAGCACTTTCCCGCGGTCAACAGGCACACTTGATGTGCCGTCTGCGGCACCCCATCCAGCGCCGCACAGCTCTTCTCGACGTGATGAGTACGTTGCCCTGACTCTTTGGCCAGTGCCTCGAGCGGCGGCTGCATCTCTGTCATCGCTGCCTATCTTGTAGAGGTATTCGGTGTGTTGGAATCTACCAAATCCACCGTTCGCAGGGACCTGAAATGCCCACACCAGTTCGCCTTCCGCAACCGGCTTACTGCTGATGTTGTCTTCTACAGCCGTGTAGTCTATGCAAGCGCCCACCGCAGCAGGCTGCTGTTGGGATGATGACCCATGACCTCCCCGCTGCCCGGTCCTATGCCCGGGTCCACTCCAGCACGGATCCTTGGCACTACCAGGCTGGCTCCCGGTCTGGAGCTTCTTCCCCCGTGCTGTGCGGGCGGCGTGATTCCGTCGTTGTGCGGCCGCTCTTCCAGCAGACCGCGGGCAGACGTAGTGCCCGTAACGACAGCGCCCACCCCAGCGCCGCCGGACTCCCCCTCCTTTTCTGACTTTCCGAGGGAGACTCGGAGAGTCCCTGCCAGCTGCTGTACCTCGTCCGTCAGGCCTGAAACTTCGCTCTCCAGGTTGTCAACTCTGCCCTGCGTAGTAGTGGTGACGTCGGCAGCCTCTGCTGCAACATCGGCGCCACCCATCTCCAGCATGGGTTCCCTCGAGGGATACACTCTAGAGTGTTAGTATACCCATGTATGTGTGTTGAAGATGATGGTATCACTTGTATTTAGGACAGCAGACACGATCAGGACGCCGCGGGAGAGAGAGAGTGCTATGACACAGCAAGCACTCCCGCAGGGCCGAGCCCCGTAGATCAACCATGAAACCAACCCAGGGGACTATCAATTCCTATCTGCGTTGCCACTTCCTAAAGTCCCGTTGGAATATTCTCATCCGCTCATGCACACAAGAACAGAAAACATGTTTTGGAAGTCATGCAACAGATCACCAATTTCTGTGATGACCTCTGGTGACCAATCAAGACCGTGTCAGATCAAACTTAACCAACTTCAGGTGAGGCGGCAAGCGATTCCACAATGGCTCAAAGCTAACTCTCTGATCGGCGCTCAACTGCTCCATCACATACTGCGGTGGCGGCGAGGGCGAAGTTTGGGCGGAGGCAGGGGCCGCAGGGAATGATTTCCCTGGGTCCGGCACAGGAGGATCGGTGGATCGTAGGTGATGCACGAAGGGATCGTGGCAACGCCCCTGCGGATCGACGGTCCTTTCCGCGTTATCATCGGTAGAACCCAAAATAGGTCCAGGCACAGAACATGAAGTATCAGCTTCGTCGCTGAACTGTTGTTCTAAATGCTCTACCAGCACGCGCATCAGTGGGGCGGAAGCAGTACCGAGCAAGTCTCCTGGCCCAAGTTCTGCGGCCCCGCGAGCGGCACAAACTGACGTCCATCGGAGACAAAGATTTCTTCGTTCGACGAAACATCAGGTAACACGTCGACAAGGTGTTGACCGGTCAGAGCCGGTGTGCCGTTGGAACGCACTAAGTTGACCTCAACCATTTGGTGGTCGTCTGACAATGAGGTACCCGTCGGCCCTGCATAACGGAGCTGGAATTGGTCCGCCGGGGCTGTGAAATCGGGCACATACGCGACCGCACCTCAATCGTCCTGGTGGGCAAGCGAATATTCACAAACAACGCGATTGACTGTCCAGTGGCCGCGGAGGCAACATACGGTACATACGAGTGTTATATCGCATGAGACTATCTCGTCTTAAGAGGATGGGAACTGCATGGTGTTTGCAACGACGATGTGTGCCCATACGGCAAGAGAAGCCGAAGGCGTATCACCGTGGAAAAATTGCACACTCAGACGGACTGTGTCGGACGTCTGAAGAGACTCGGATTTACCAGAACCTCCCCAATATCGTGCGTTGCCGTGCGAGATGCAAGCCTCTGAGATTGCTCCCCATGGCTTTGAGGGTACCAACAGCGTTGCTGTTGAACGTGGCCGGTGATCCTGAATCTAACAGAGCAGCACAACCATGTTGTGATTCAGCTGACCCAGCTTGGATTTTGACTTGAGTCGAAATTATAGCATCGTCAACTGAAACAACACCACCTACGAGGCAAAGACGATGCTCAGCGAGCAACGGCACACGATCTTCCTCATTATACTCAGCGGGCGTAACCGCGAGAACTTCAGCGCTGTGATCACGTGGAACATGCGCTGATTTGATGGGGTAACCTGACGACGGGGCGGCCTCCTCGGCGACAGCCGTCGAAATACGCTCTTGCGTTTCAGGGTCAACCTCATATATTGTATTCCTGAGCTGTGCGTGGGACGAAACTTGTGGTGCAAGTGTCGGTGTCGGAGCGTGCTCTCGGAAGTGGTCTCGAACAACCTGCAGGCTTTAGCCAAGCAAATTGGATCCTCGCCATAAAGAGGGTTGCAAAGCAGCAGGGTCATCCGGGCGATGTCCAATGCCCCATTTGGTATCGTATGGGCTAGCTTCGACAAGCAAATTGTCGCCGGTGCCCAAAAGATGTTGTCGCAAAGCGGGATTTTGCGAAAAATTTTAGTAGGAGCCGACACGCACCACGTTTTCACGCTCGCGCTCCCAAACTGCTTCGTCAAACCCTTTAACTTAGCGTCCGTGACGCTTATGTTTCATCGGGTCGGAAACACGCATAATCCGCCGCAAAGCATCATGGTCATCAAATGGACGAGCCTTAGGAGCCGCGACTAATTGTTCTCCACAAGAGTATTCCACACCATCCACAGTAAAAATGGAAGGCGTTCATTACGAGAAAGCCGGCGGAGCTTGCCAGAATAGCACCATATCAGGCGTACAGTACTTCTTTCTCGGATCAAAGGCGGGTGGTGACCACTTGGCGTCAGTCGGAGGAGGAGGTTAGATTTGAATACCAGCTATAGCGGAGGAGTGGGACTTCTGCTGCCCCGAGTCCTCTACTCTACCAACAGCGTAACCCGGTTGAGGTGTATTGTCTGTAGGGCTTTCGCTAGAATCCATCACGGTGGAGACATTACGGACCTCCTTTGACGGGGGTGGCGAGTTTTTCGTTGCTTGTTCAACGAGGGGCGCAATCGGAGCGTCCTCCGAATACGGTGTTGTCAGCACCTCCGTGGTCGCGGTTAGGGACTGTTCAGCTTTGGTACTCCCGCCTCACCGTGCGGCGAGTGACTGTTGTCACCGTCTCGAGTTCCGTCGGCTTTAGCGCCGTAGGTTGTCGATGAACCGTACGCAGTGGACATGTCCAAATCATCGCGCGAGGTAGCTAGGCTAAGCTACGCTTCATCTATTGTCGACAACGTAGGTGTCCTAACGGTCTTACACGAGGACGTCAGAGCGGATCCCGCGGGCAATGCTCGACAACAACATCTTGTTCCGCAACTTTGAAGAGGCGAAGCGTGAAGCTGACGCCAAAGCGCGTGCGTTGGCTGGAGAGGAAGCAGACGAACGAAAGAGAGAGGCCGACGCGGCGCTGAGCGCGTTAAACGAGGAAACTGCTCAATTGGAGGAGGAAATCCTCCAGCTGTAAAAGAGAGAGGCCGACGCGGCGCTGAGCGCGGTAAACGAGGAAACTGCTCAATTGGAGGAGGAAATCCTCCAGCTGTAAAAGAGAGAGGCCGACGCGGCGCTGAGCGCGGTAAACGAGGAAACTGCTCAATTGGAGGAGGAAATCCTCCAGCTGTAAAAGAGAGAGGCCGACGCGGCGCTGAGCGCGGTAAACGAGGAAACTGCTCAATTGGAGGAGGAAATCCTCCAGCTGTAAAAGAGAGAGGCCGACGCGGCGCTGAGCGCGGTAAACGAGGAAACTGCTCAATTGGAGGAGGAAATCCTCCAGCTGTAAAAGAGAGAGGCCGACGCGGCGCTGAGCGCGGTAAACGAGGAAACTGCTCAATTGGAGGAGGAAATCCTCCAGCTGTAAAAGAGAGAGGCCGACGCGGCGCTGAGCGCGGTAAACGAGGAAACTGCTCAATTGGAGGAGGAAATCCTCCAGCTGTAAAAGAGAGAGGCCGACGCGGCGCTGAGCGCGGTAAACGAGGAAACTGCTCAATTGGAGGAGGAAATCCTCCAGCTGTAAAAGAGAGAGGCCGACGCGGCGCTGAGCGCGGTAAACGAGGAAACTGCTCAATTGGAGGAGGAAATCCTCCAGCTTACCCTGGAGCGTGCATCCTCCAATTGAGCAGTTTCCTCGTTTACCGCGCTCAGCGCCGCGTCGGCCTCTCTCTTTCGTTCGTCTGCTTCCTCTCCAGCCAACGCACCACAGGTAGACAAATGGCTAGGGTCAAAATCCTCTAGAGGATAGGTGAAACGGCAATCCTCAGAGGATTGCGGTTTGGATTCCAAAGAAAAACTCCAGAGGAATAGCCAGAGAACTTCCTCGGGAGGGAGTGGGGGACAATATATCCCCCGGAGCATGTGGTGCGTTTCTTCCAGTGGAGACTGCTGGGAAACATGCACCTTCTGCTGTTCATGTCACTTTTGTCGCTCTCTTATAATATTCTCTGAGGGGGGTGTACAACTTACGCCCGTTGCATAGATATATTCGAATTGATCGCTTAGAAGCAACACACACCAGGTTAAGGGCCGTTTTAAACGAACCAATAATGTTTCAAATTTCCGCTCCAAAGATTTGGAACCAAGAGGCGGCACGTTTCGACTGTACAGAAAAACAAAAGCTCAAGCATCGACAAGTTACTACGGCCTTCGACGTTGAAACAGGGCAACTTTCCAAATCTCTTTACCAAATCACGAACATCTTACGACTTAGTACGGAATAGGTGCATCCCCGTGACGAAAACAAGGACGAAACAATTGAGAACCACCGAAGCACACGGCTGCCTATATACGCACGTGCTCAAAGAGAAGCACAGTGCCTTATCAACAAAAAAACAAACCGAAATCTCTAGACCAAAGCACTACACTTCGTTGCGTATCACCTCGCCCAACGGTATGTCGCCAAGTCAAAGACTATCCCCATCAACTTGGAAACAAAAAACACACAAACATGCGTGGGTAACAAGTGTGCGGGGTACATCCCCGCAACGGAAAACTGACGAACGAAGAAAAACGACTGTCTATGAACGTGCCTGAGAGAATCTGCCAATGAAAACGACATCCCGCCCCTACACCAGGGCAAAGTAGTATCTCGTTGGCCGTCGCACCGTCAGCATTCATTCCTCAATAGACAAGTCGAAAGACGTCCCCGT